CGGGGGGACCCCTGCGGCGGCACCGGGCCCTTCCCCGCGGCACACGGGCGGCCCGGACGCCCCTCGGGAGACCGGTCCGAAATGGTTAAAAAGACCCGCAGGCGCTTCCACAAGTGGTTGCCTGTGCGGGGTGTGGGGGAAGCCACAGCAATCCCTTCTGCGCCCGCTTTGCTTTAATCCTTTTTATTTTTTAACTTAATCAGAAAAATATTTTTCCCCCTCGTAAAACAAAAATACAACGAGCGCAGATACTTAGGGAAAAGAGAGAAAGGCATTTGAAACGCAATATTTCTGTGTGCGTGTGATTTATGAAAAAATATATATATAATAAGATTATTGGAGAAATAGCTCTTAAAATAATGACTTTAGGTTTATTATTTCCACAACTTGAGATCATTCACTCTCGCCCGCACTATATTCCGGAACAGCACGGCTAGGTGAGATAAATCGTCATGTCATATAATGGTTTATGCTTAAGTAATGAATCGCTTCTTACTCAATCCCGCTTCACACACACAGGCTCTTACATTATCTTATTTAAAAATCACCTCGTAACAGTAGCAATTAGTACTATATTTCAACATTTCGAAATATATATGAAATGTAACATAAACACATTCAAAATGACGGGCATCGCTGGACAATTTTTTCCTTAAAACCCAAGGCAAACGTTAGGTGATCGGATATGAAAAGGAGAAGCAACCGGCGGGGTATTTGTACGTAACCTGCTCTCAAGCTCCGCAAAGGGCTGACTCGACGCGGGGCTGAAACCCCAGGCGCTATTCCGGGCTGAGAAGCCGGAAAGGCCCCTTAACACTGCAGAACGCAATTAACTACAAGGAGGTTTATTGCATCGCAACGTCAGCTTCATTGGGGAGTTTCACGAGGAAAAAAAAAAAAAAAAAAAGAGCTTTGCGCTATGGGTTGGCTTCACTCATTATCTTTTCTTTATTTTTTTTTTTCCCCGCTCTTTTCTTTTTTTCCCTTATTTTCCCCCCTAATTTCCAGAACCTTATTCTCGAGGACTGCCGCGAACTGCCCTCTTTGAAGAAACCACCCACGTAATAACGACCCTGGAGAGCAGCGCAAAACCCCGCCGGCTGCCGCGCCAACTTCGCCAAATTGCTGGGCTCGCCCGAAGACAGGCGAACTGGCAAGAGAATCTGCGAGGGGAAAAAAATAAAACACGATTCCCCCCTAATTTCCAGAACCTTATTCTCGAGGACTGCCGCGAACTGCCCTCTTTGAAGAAACCACCCACGTAATAACGACCCTGGAGAGCAGCGCAAAACCCCGCCGGCTGCCGCGCCAACTTCGCCAAATTGCTGGGCTCGCCCGAAGACAGGCGAACTGGCAAGAGAATCTGCGAGGGGAAAAAAATAAAACACGACAACTACCCACAAAGGGCTTGGTATTTTTTTGAGGCAGTGTCTAAAAGCCTCCTTCACCGAGCTACTGCAAAATCCTTCATTCCAAGCCTACTATCTCCAGGTGACCTTACAGGCTTTATATTTCTTTTTTATTCTGTTATATTTCCTTTTTCTTTCATTATATTTCTTTTCTTTCTTTCTCTCTTTCTTTTCCTTCCCTTTCTATTTTCTTTTTCTTTCTTTCTTTCTTTCTTTCTTTCTTTCTTTCTTTCTTTCTTTCTTTCTTTCTTTCTTTCTTTCTTTCTTTCTTTCTTTCTTTCTTTCTTTATCTTAGTCTTTATTTTAATCTTTTATTTCAATTTAAATTTCCTCTCCTTTATATTTCCTTCCCTTTCTGTCTTTCCTTTCTCTCCTCGTTTCTCCACTTCTCGCCCTATGCCACACTTCTGGGGAAACGTTTCATTTAAACAGATCTTAGCTTCCCCGATATCCCTGATTTCTTACAGTGTCTCCTTATCACCCCTCATTTTCTTTCTATACTACAGAGGGAAGAGGGAGATGGGGAATGAAACAGAAAAGGCAGTTTGACAAATGCATTTTCGCAATTAAAATTAAATGAAGAGAAACAGATATTATTCCCTTACCTTTTGACGTCCATTTCTCTGGTATATGTAAAGTATATAGGGAGAGAGAGACAGCGTTTGCTTATCTGTTTGCTGACAAATATTGTCCCAACCTGATAGCCGTCGATTGCCTCTCTGACTTGTGATAGCTTCTTGCATTTCTGTCATTTGCATAGAAAATGGAGTAACTTCCCTCTTTGAAAAATGATAGCCTCCACTCGGTCCAGAATTTCCACTTCCCCTCCATTACCACTGAGATTCCAAATCAGCAGGCAAATTAACCCAGGAATTGAAAAAAAAAAATCATATAACTCTTTTTGTATGTGAGTGTGTGTATGTGTGTGTATCTGTGTGTGTGCGCATAGGCTTCCCCCCTCCCCTCTCCCCTGTTTTAGCCCTACCGAGCTTATACACAAAAGTAAAAAAATGTAAAGAGGCGAGAGCCCTATAGAGGACACTGATCCGACCCAAGGTGCAGCGGACAGAAGAATGGTGCAATATAACCACATGGGAAATAATAAAAAGTTCATGTTCACGGTTAGCAGTCCACATGACCGGCCCTGGCCAATCCCAGAACCCAGCCACTCATAAAGTTCTATCACAAAGTTGTAAATTTTCATAAAACAACAAGGAATTTATTGCATTTCTTCATGACCGGTTTAACAGCAGTCTTTTTCTTAGCCGCCATCTTTTTTTTAACAAAAATAAAAGAATATGAAAGGAGTTTCAGGGATTTTTCCCCCATGGTTGCATATGAAGGAGCTAGAAATAATCAAATATTACCTTATACATTAAGCTGTGAACAATAATACCCCCTCACCCGCCGCATAGAGAATTTGGGGGTGACGTTGGCTTTTAAGTGGGTAAGACGGTGGGGTTCGGGTGGGGTCTTGATGTGATTTTGGGTTCTTTCACGGCAATCTGGGCATCTTTCCTCTGCAAGGGGGGAAGCCGCACTTGCGGCTCCCAGGAAAGAAAATGAGGCGGATAAAGGTGTATCGCGAGCGGGGCCGTGTGCGGGCAGAGCCGCTGGCTGCGCCCCCGAGTGTCCCCTCCCTCCCCCGCTAGGCGCGGCCCGCGCGGGGGGGGGGCCCGGGGGGGGGGGGGGGGCCCCCCCCGCCGCTAAGCGCTGCCCTTCGCTTTATAGAGGCTTGCTTTGCCCCCGGCAACCCCCCACTTTTAAAAATAATCATTTATTTATTCCTTTCGGATGCCTCCTTTTCCCTGGCCGCAGGGGGCTGTGCGGGGGCAGCCACCCGGGCCGGGGCAGCGCGGAAGCGCAGGGACGGGGGAAATTTCTGGATTTTTTCCCCCTTCCTTTTCCCTCGCTATGCGCAGGGCGCTGCTGCAAAGACATTGCTTGCACATAAAGGAAAAAAAAAAAAGGAAGAATTTCCCTTCTCAGCAAGTGGGATTTCAGTGCTCTAAAGCCATAAGCGCTCCTGCCTTCAATAACAGGCTCGCCGTAATTAGTTATATCCAGGAGGTCGCGTGAGCCCGAGTTATGGATATGGGCGCGCAGATGCTTGACGTGGTATCTCCTTCACGCGGGGACCTGCTGAAGGATGCCCTGCTCCTCTTCCTCCACACGTGAAATTATCTGCGGTCGCGGGTGGCGGAAAGACAGAGAGACAGAGCAGGAGGAAGGCAAGGAGGTGGAAAGCTGCCATTTCCAAGCCAGAATTACCTCCAAGCGCTCTTTCATTTCTCTTTAATTATGATTTTTGGGTTCGTTTTGGCTCACGCAGTGCGGAGTAGATTGCTCGGAGCCTCTGATGGAGGAGCCCTCGTCCTCGCTGCGCGCCCGCGCAATGTAAATAAACCAGGAGTGCGGAGGGGGAGACGAGGCCGCTCCCCGCACCGGGCCCGCTTTCCGTGCAGCAGTGCCGGTTTCACCGGCCTTTAATGGCTTTCATTTATTTTATGTGTGCTTTGCTGCTCAACGTTATTCGGCGCTAATGAAATAATTACAGTCGGCAATAAAGTAATTGAAGGGCAGAGGGAGAAGCTCCAAAAACTAAACCTGCAGCAAAACATCCCATCTTGCTGCGAATTGTTACAAGCGCAAGCGAATTAAAAGATGTGCAGAAAGCCGATTCAAGCTGTTTCTGGCCTCTTTGAGCTTCCCCCCCCTCCTTTTTTTTTTTTTTTTTTTTTTTTTTAAACCCTCTTACCTATTGCTGTAGCAGTCATGGCACAGTCACAGAGAGAAAGGAGAAAGAATCCCCGTTTCTAGAATCCCCAATATGGCTTATACTTTGGTGTATTCACTAGATCTATCAAAAGGGCACTTAAGGCTGAAGCCAGTGGCTAGAGCAAAAAAAAAAAAGACTTTCACAGTGATACATCGGGGCTTATTTTGTTATAAAATGGTCTTTAATGTGTGTATATATATATATATGAAACCTATTTTAAGAGGAGGGGAAAGAACGCAACTCATATAATCGGAGATTTTCTTTTTTATTTCGAAGAATAATAATCACAGACGGGGAAAAAAAGCAACGCTGCGGCATTAAATAATTTGCTACTTCGATATACAACATTTTACGTAGCACAATATTAATTCTTTTTTCTTTTTCCCTAGAGACTTGAACAAAGAAGTAACCCAGGTAAAAAAATACACAGACAAAACTGCATAGCGACAATAAGAGAACCACGGAGACTACAGGATGAAGGCGTAATAATCATTTATATTATGTACAGGATTATATACGCTAAGTATAATTTGCATTCTGACTTTCAGGTCACATTTTCTAAATTAAAGGTGCTAAACACGACCACGTTACTTCATACCAAAAAGTACACGGCAAAGTACAAATGGAGATTTACAATTAACTTGTACTATAGGAAGACTCACATAGAAAAATGTGTCTATTTGGACTCTAAAGCCACATTTAATAGGTAGATATTCATTCTATTGTACAAAACAAACAAACAAAAACTTAATATAGGTAGTATTTTTCAGTGTCAGGAAACACAATGTATCATTCCTAAGGTTTTTAATTATTTACCCACTTATCATTTATGTATTTTAATATATAGTCTTTTCGGTGTTTTTTCCCCCCATTTTCTTTTTGTCTGTTTTTTAATATTTTTGTTTTCCACGTTTCCTGGCTTCACCTTTCCAAGCAACAGTTCCCTTGGCCCTCTCATTCCTCCTCGTCATCCTCCGCGTCTGCCTTTTCCTGGCTGCCGGAGCCCGAGCAGGCCGTTTTGTTCTCCTTTTTCCACTTCATGCGCCGGTTCTGGAACCAGATCTTGATCTGGCGCTCGGTGAGGCAGAGCGAGTGCGCGATCTCGATGCGGCGCCGCCGGGTCAGGTAGCGGTTGTAGTGAAACTCCTTCTCCAGCTCCAGCGTCTGGTAGCGGGTGTAGGTCTGGCGGCCGCGTTTTCTGTCCGTGCCTGCGGAACAAGGTTGGATGCAGCTGAGCTGGGGGGTTAGGAGGCTCTTTGGGCTTTTCTCGCCCTTTGCTTTCAGTCTTTGGGAGGGTTCTTGCTATCTAATGTCTGCAACACGCAGTGCGCACCCGGAGAGCCCGCAGGAGTTCAGAGCAGGTTCTTCACATTTGCAAGATCCAATCCTCATTCTATAATCTTTCCCCATGTCCCCGTCGAGACTCACAGCCCCTCTTTCTATCCCCCGCGTCCCGTCCATCGCACTTTTAACTTCCCTTCACGTCGGAGAAACACGCGGGGCTTTTCCGCGTGTCACTCTTCGTTCCTCCCGCGGGCCGCGGCGCGAGGGAGTAGCGAAACTTCGCAAAGTTTCTGCCCACGCCACATTCTCGAGCCACTGGGCCCGTACTGTGATTTTCATTTCAATTTTCGGGTGCTTCGGAAATAAATACATAAATAAAGCGGAGCAAGCGAGGCAGCTGTTGCCTACACAAATCCAACTATTTGTCCTCTCTTAAAGCTGTCATCGGGAAGCCTGCTTGGAAGGTGTGTGATGTTCCTAATTATTTAGCGGAATGCGCTGCGCACAGCGGTGGCTCCTGCTCCGCCGGGCTCCGCAGGAGGGGGACAATCCCCCAAGCCCCCCGAGGCTCCCCTAACCCTCCAGCAGCCTTGAAGCAGGCGTTGGAAAGGGCCCAACTCCTAATTCTCCCCCTCTTTCCCCACCCCCCGATAATTCCTGGAGTCCAATGGGAAATAACGCTGCAATATGGTGTTTGTGACTCTGGATAGCTTTTCCTTGTAAAGGCTAAATGTGTCTCTCTAGTCTAACACATCCTTTCCAGGGAAAGGGGATGGCGAGCACCATCTCTCGCCCTCTCCTCCACACATTCCACTGGACTCCTCTTCTTCACCTCCTCCTTTTTTTTTTCTTTCTTTCTTTCTCCCAGAAGAAAAGATCCAGTCATTAAAAGGAGGGGGGGGGGGAGCGGGAAAGCAAAATAGCCAGGCTAGCTGTAAAGTAAAAATGTGCAGGTCGTGGAATGTGGGTTGTAAAATCCGCTGAGGGGAGAGCCATAAACTGCTGTTGAATAGGGATGACAACTCTATCTCTGCTCTCTGATGAAATTCCGCAATCAAACAGTGGCAGTGGCGGGGGGGTGGGGAAGGGTGGGCGCAGGCCCTGCCCGGATACCTGGGCCCGACTCTCGCCGATTTTAGGCACAGCACAGCCCCAATACGCGGCTCTGAGCGCTCGTGCCCTGCTCCAGAAGCCTCTCTAATGTTGGTACTCTCAGCCTCACATGCTAAAAGAGGGTTGCGGAGGGGGGTGTTCTTAAATCTGAGGTCAGATAAAAGCAGAGATGAAATGTTTACGAGCAGAAATATTTGGGCTTTGATAAATCAACTGTAAAAAGGGAATGAATTATGGAGAAGGTAATGGAAAGTACTGACCACCAAATAAGTGCGAAAGTAACTCTAGTTCTGTGAGCTGCTCTGCACTGGCTGCTCTGCTCTTTGCTTTCCTTCCTGCTTTGCAGGGAGGCCGGCCCGCACTCCGCTCGCCCCCGAAGTTTACTAACAAGACACTTTCCCCAAATCCTGCTGCCAAGTGAGACGCGCTCAAGTTGCGAGGGGCAAAGCTCAAACGGCTGCAGCAGAGAGCTCACACGGTCCCCTCTCTCCCAGTGGGACAGCTGCATTTTTCCTCCTCTTTTTTTTTTTTTTTTGTCAGTGTGATATCTTATTTCAGCTGGTGGTTTATATGACATATACTTAAATTCAGGTAGGTCTAAATCCTGTACAGAGATTAAAAATCGGTCTTTCTTTGTAAGACCGTTTCTTCTGCAGAGGAGCACAGGTAAAAGGACTATTGTTTCGGGATGCTTTTGGCTAACTACTTTCTTCTTTACAGCAAAAGTTGCTAATTACTGCACAGTGAGGTAATGACAGTGGTTGGTTAAGTAGATGGATAGAACAAAAGGCATGAGATTTGCAACTTTCAATAGTTATTGTATTCATTTGAACCAGGATTGTCTCTAAAGCACTGGCAGGCGACAACTTTCAGGAGGTGGCAGAGACCCCCTACCCCCCTCCCAGTAGCCCCGCGGAACCGTATCCGAAAGCCTCGTCCAGCCTGCAAGGGAAATCGAGCCTGCAAGGGCCGCCCGGCTCTCATTTTTTTTGGAGGTCGCATATATAAGCCCCGGCTCCCCCCTCGCAGCCTTTATGCATACGTCCATACATCCGGATGCCGAAATGTCACCCTTTGGAAAAGCAGAGGCTTTTAACTGCACAGGGAATGATGTGTTGCTGCTTCTGATGGCAACACGCTATGCTTAATTGCAGTCTCCGGGACGTTGTGGTGAGGTGCTGGCAATTGAAGGCTTTGTAATCTAACAGAAAACAAACCGAGCTTGCAAGCACCTCCCATAAATAGTTTCTTTAAGAATCTATATCTATATCTACATCTACATGGGGCTCGTGCAACCTTCATCCTGCAAATATAGGAGGAGAAGGAGATGGCCATTATTTCTGCGGCTCTGCCTGTCCCCCCTGAGACAAACTGCCTTTTGCGCGGCACATCCACAGCCCCGGCACCACTAATAAATATTTAAAGCCCAAAGGCAGCCTTTAGGGTGGGGGGGCTCGCTCGCCCTCCGTCTCTTTTGAGAAGAGAGATGCGCTTTCACTGAAACGTCATGCAAGGAGTTGGGGACACCTCCCCCCTTCCTCCTCGATCCCCCTCTGCCCCCCCGCCCCGCACGCCATGCGATAATTTACACCCCCCGGGTGGGCTCGCTCCTTACCTGTGCTCCGCATCCAGGGGTAGATCCGGAAGTTACTGTCGCTTTGCAAATCCGAGTCCCTCTGGTCCGTTTTGTTGCAGTTCTGCTTGGAGGCATCTGCCGGGCACATCATGGAGAGGTTTTGCTCAAAGGGGGAACAGTGCATGTTGAAGGAGCCGGGCTCCAGGCCGTAGCCGGACGAGTACATGCTGGGGGGCTGGGGGTGCACCGAGCTGCCGCTCGAGTAGAGCCCGGGCATGGAGGCAGCGAAGGGAGGCGTGGATCCGGCCCCATAGCCCGCTCGCTGCGTGTTGGAGGCGAAAGCGCAAGAAGTTTGCTCAGGAAAGACTCCGGATGGGAAAACCGAACTTGCGGCTTGATATTTAGAAAATAAAGCATTCGCATAATACAATGAACTCATAATTTGGCCGGGTGATTTGTAGGTCGGGACGTTTTAGTGTCGGTTTTACGAGGTACCGTGATATATTACGGAATTAGAGTCCAGATTTACACCAAAAAGGACCCTTTTTCCTCCCGGCCCATGTGACGCGCGGGCACGTGGCTCCGGCGGCGCCAATCGCCGCCCGCTCCCTCCTCGGGGGCAAAAAATTGTAGTGCTGCTGGATTTATAAAATATGATAAATAATTGATGCGATATAAAACCCTCCAAGATCTATGCTGGAAGGGGTGAAATTGTGCTGGAGTCGATAAGCAACCTGTAATCAGTTTTCAGCTGAGAACGAAGGAGAAAAAGAAAGAAGTTGGGGAGGGAGGTAAAAAGCACGTTGCTGATGAGCCGGTGGCTCCCTCTCGGTCTCTCTCTGCTGGAGGAAAACCAGGAACGGAGTCCTATTTATCCCTTTATTGATCCCTTCTAAAATTCCCTCCTTCGCACCATTTCCCTCGCTCCGAGACACTTTTTTTTTCTTTTTCTTTTTTTTTTTCTTTTTTTTTTCACAGAGAAATTCTTTTCCACCCCCTCCTTGTTCCCCTCTCCCTCCGCGGCCACCCCCAAAAGACAAATGTCTCATTGAGACCTAATACTTCCAAGGTCTTTCTTTTTTCTCTCTCCTAATATGCCATTCAGTTCTATATCTAATTTATTCTAGTGCCACAGGCTTCGAGCTGCTTATTGAGCTGGCATTTGCTTTTCTTGTTGCGAAAAATAAAGGCTGTACAGATCCCTTGTTCAGCGTGTCAGCGGTTCCGCGGGAGTCAATTACAATTATAAGTAAAACGTTACCAGCTGGCTGATTTGCTTTCTGCTGCAGAAGCAGAGAACTTCCCAAATGTGATCTGTCTTCCATTTCTTTTTCTTTTTTCTTTCTTTTTTTTTTTTAAGAGAAGGGAAGAATAGGGAAGGAAGTAAAAAAATAAAAATAATTAAAAAAATAGTAGCCCAGGAAAAGCAGCCCAGACAATGGTGGTTTGCATCTGGGGTTTGCCCTGCTTCTCCTCTCCCAAGGTTATGTTGCAAGGGAATGTGTGTGCATCCCCACACACGCTATCCTCCCTGCCAGGGCTCCATAGGCGAAGGAGCAGGAAGCAGCTCGGCTGCGCTGGGACAATTTTGCAGCGTGACCCGAGCGAGGGCAGCAGAGTGACCCAGACCTGGGCTTCATGTCGCTGGGGAAGTGGGGTGAGCGAGGCGACAAGGGAGGGAAGGCAAGGCAGAAAGAAGAGAAAAACAGCGATTACCTTCAGGCAGGACTTCCACACAGCCTCCCAACCTGTCACCACACATGAACTGTTAGCAAGGACAAGGAGAGGAGAAGCCATCGCCGCGGCCCAGGCCCCCTCCCCGATCCCAGTCCCTGCCCGTCCCAGCAGCGCTCCGGCTGGTCAGCATCTCTGCAGGCCAGGAGGGCTTTGATGGCCACGGCTGCCCCTCCAACACAATTGACTTTTATTTCCTTTCTATCAAAGTGGTCCTGGAGGAAATGAAGCAGGCGAAAAGAATGATGTCACGGAATTCTCACTTGTAAACTTTATTGTAACTTTCTTCCGCCGCTTCCAGGTTTAGACAATAGAACAAAGTGATGAAAGAACAACAAAATATATCATTAGTCCCCCAATAAAGTAATTCACGTATACAGTATACATTCTTTTTCACAGTTAACCTAAAGATCACTTTACAACTTGCTTCACTGTGCGCATGCTAACTAAAGGAGAGAAAACGCTTTTTTTCATGTATTTTTTTTCATTTTTGATTTTTTTGGGGAAGAGACACTTAAAATTTGTAAACAAACAAACCAAAAATCCCGAACCAAACAAAACAACAGAAGGAAAGTAAAAAGAGAGAGAGATAGATAACTACAGCATAAATAGGCAGTTTCATGTTGTTGGGATGTTTGTTTCAATAGCTACCTCCATTACATACAGATAAACCACAACAAAAATAAAAAGTGGGAAATTAAAAAAGTGCACAAATGTAATTTCACATAACTCCTATAGCATTAAAAGCTATGTTAACAACCCACCCCCAGGAAAGAAGAGAGACAGAGAGAGACAGAGAGAGAGAAAATTTCACAGTCATGTTTTACATAAGCTATTGCGTTACACTACCACTAGTTAATAACTGGCAAAAGGCTGGAGAGACCTCCACATTACTTTTGCATACTGTTCATTGTATCAAAGGATAATCAGGAAAGTGGTGCTTACAGCTATATTGTTTTACAGCAATAAAAGTTTTTTTTTTCTTTTCTTTTCCTTTCTATGCATTGTTGTTTTTTTCCCCACCCCTCCCTTACATTAACTCCCATTAATAGGGGACTCGGGGGCTCTTCCACCCCAGCAGCGCTTGCCTTTTCAGTCCTTAAAAATCCTTTTATTTCTTGTCTGCCTTCTGTGCTTCCCCTTCCTCGTCCACCTCCTGGGGTCTTTCCATTTTCTGTTTTTCCAGTTCTTCCTGCTCGCATTTGCTGCTGGGAAACTTGTCTTTGTTGTTTTCCTTTTTCCATTTCATCCTCCTGTTCTGGAACCAGATTTTGACCTGCCTTTCTGTCAATCCCAGGGCATGCGAGACCTCGATCCTCCGTTTGCGGGTCAGGTAGGGATTAAATAGAAATTCCTTCTCCAGTTCCAGCGTCTGGTAGCGGCTGTAGGTTTGCCTCCCCCTCCTCCGTCCAGCGGCTGCTGGTGAATTGCAAAGGTTGGGTGCAAGAGGGGAAGAAGAGAAGGAGGTTGAAAGATACATAAACCAGGCTCGGGGATAGACACACGGATACACAGACACACACACACACACTCGGCAGGGGGAGGAAGAAAGGGCTCGCCCAGGCGAAGGCAGGAAGCGAGCAGGGACACGGAAAAGCTCCTCTATAATATTATGAAGGGGAAGAAGGTGCTGGAGGACCCGGGTATGGTGGCGGAGGAGGCGAGGGGGGGGAGCACAGGGCCAGCCTGCAGCCCCCTGCGAGCGACAGCCCCGCCAGCCCCACGCTCCCCTTACACGCTTAGCACCATCGCAACAACAGCAGCAGCAGGGCTGGGGCTCGCCAGGCTCCCAGCCGCTGCCATGGGGGAAAAAAGGAAACAAAATTACAAAAATAAAAATAAAAAAAATAAAACACGAGCGAGAGACCAGCAGCACCAAAACTCCAAATCCAACTCGCAACAAAAATGAAGGGGCCTTTTTTTTTTTTTTACGGCTATAAAAGTGCCATAAACTTTAAGGACGCTTCCTTCCACAGAAAGCCCAGCGCGCTTAGCCCCCAGAAGAAAAGGGCTCCTTCAGGGCAATTAAACTATAAAGCAATTTACAAGTGCAAAAGTTTACCCCCATAAAGCAGTAAAACCCGGGCAGCGGGGGGAAGAAAAAGGGGGCAAAGCGAGCAAGCGGGCACGGCGAGCAGCCAGAGAGACGGCCAGCCGGCCGGGGGGAAAGCGGGGCTGCTCGACGGGATCGTAGGAAAAGCCTCCTCGCTGTGCTTCCCATCTCGCCTCACCTTGCGGTCGCATCCAGGGGAAGAGCTGGGTGGGCGAAGGGCTCTGCTCCGCGCTCTCCGCCTCCTCGCCGAGGCCGCCGGCCGCCAGCTTGCAGTCCGTGTACTGCACCAGCTCCGAGTCCTGGGCGGCGAAGAGGCTCTGCCTTTGCAAGGGCTCGTAGCCGTAGAAGTTGCTGGGGTCGCCATGGCAAGCCACAGCGCAGGGATTCTGTTGGTAAGGGGAGCTGGAGAGCGAGGAGGCACCGTGGTAAAACTCCTGGATCTGGGGGGGGTGCTGGAAGGTGCCCCCCGCGCTGGGTCCGTACACCACCGTGGGTCTGCCCCCGAGCTCCTGGGCGAACCCGCAGTCATAGTAGTTGGGACGCAAGGAGTCCCCGGTTTTGTATTTGGAGAAGAGTGAGTTGACGAAGTAAGAGCTCATTTTAATTTAAATAATAATATTTGTTGTTTTTTGGAGAAGAGGGAAAAAAAAAAAAGCCAAGCGAACCAGACCGCGGGAATCTATTAGCAAAAAAAGAAAGCGCTAAGATGCTAAGCAACGACAGTTTGTGATTTCCAGGAATATAAAAGGAGAATATAATCAAAACTCTAAGCCTGCATGATATTGAATTCTTTCCTTCCCCCCCACCCAAAAAAAAAAAAAATCGCCACTTAAAGAGTTCTCGCTTTACATTTCCAAGAAGAGATGCCAGTTCATAAACAGTTTTCAGTGATTTACTTCAGCGCAAATGAGTTGTTTCATATTTTGCAGTGTCTTTTCATGATCATTTGCATCTATTACCAAAACCTCATCCTATTGGCTTCTCCTTACTCCACACGGACTCTGCACTGCATGATTGTGAAAGGAAGAGTGTGAGAGAATAAAGAAGGAAAAGCAAGCGAGGGGGAGCGAGAGAGAGAGAGAGAGAGAGGGAGCGAGAGAGAGAGAGAGGGAGCGAGAGAGAGAGGGAGAAGGAGGTGGGGTGAATATACGGATTAAATATGTTTAACTACCTACATTAATGAGATATCTCGCGACTCACAACAAATCACATACCTAGACCACCCAAAAGATTGATTTTTTGGGAGTGTTGGAAAATTAAAGAGAAGCGCTCTCAGTCGTTAATTTCAAAATTTTAACGAGGCAGTTTTAGCCTTTTTAAATGTCAGGGTCGCTTTGGAAAACTGTAAAAGAACACGATTTAATTGCTACCAGTTTTAAAAGGTCCTATAAATGTAATTGGTATTTTAATACAAGTTATCAAATCATACAGCTTCTTACCCTAAACATATTTTAAAACAAACGAGGTAGTCATATTTAACATTTTAATGATCAATTTCCTTATTATTGATAAAGGTTTAACTATCACATGAAGGGAATTGCATTTGTAATAGCCCCCCAAAAAAGGCTGTAAACTGTTTAACAAACTATAAAATGCCATAAAGCCGGGGATGTTGTTGTTGTTTATACCGCACTACATAAAAGCCGTTAGGATTTTACGAGTTCTTTCCTCTACTGCTATAAAACAGAGGTTTCGATTGGACCCGTCCGCATTATGGCGAGATGTTGAGGTGTCAATATTGAATTAAAATGATTATAGTTTTTCATATATAACATTGACTTTTTGTGTGTGTCTCTCTCCCAGCCCCCTCGCTGCCTCCTCCCCCAGCCCCTGCCGCATGTTGAGGACTCGCAGAAGATGTGGTTGGGGATGATTGCAAACTAAAAGTATTGTTTCGCTTATCACCTCCCGAGCAGAACCTTTATGGTCAGTAACTGATGGCTGCTTCCCTACCTCACCCCAGCCTCAACAACTTTATTTATTTATTTGCTAGTTTTGCATGATACTTATAATGAAAAGCAGGGTGGGGGGATAAGGGAAATAAGAGAGAGGCTTTCTGTTTTATTGGCATTTGGTAACAACGGAGGAAACTTACCCCTAAGATGCCAACGCTGCAATTTTGCACGATCTAAACACACAGGGGGTAGATTTGGAAATTCGTTTATCGCAGTCAGCAAATATTACCGAGACGTATTTCAGCTAATAACGACCCCAAATCCTCCCCACTTAAGCACTGCCTCAGTGTGCCTGACCCCCTCCCCCCGTGCCTCTCCGGAGCCCTCGCATTGCCAGTTCTATTCCCCAACCCGCAACCTTCAAAGAAGTTAAAGACACTCTTCTAAATCACTTTTTTTTTTCCTTTTCTTTTCTTTTTTTCTTTTTTTTCCCCCTCTCTTTCTGCCCTGGGTAGATCTCTGGTAGATTGCATCCGTCCCCGCGATAGTGACTCAAGAAAGGTGAATAAGGTTTTCTCTCCTTCCTGCCTTGAAATGAGAATCAATTCTCAACTATCTCAACCATCCGCCGCAGCATGGAAAAGAGGGAAAATTTTAAATGTTAGTCAGTCTTTCTATGGCTTTTTTATAAAATACTTTATATTATCAACACTGAGGCTGGGAATTGGCGTGGAATTAAAGAAAGTGAAAAAGAAAGAAAGATAGAAAGAAAGCTAACAAAGATTGTAACGGAATAAAACTTTAAAACCATCCTTAGAGAAATAATTTAAGTAAATACGTTTCTTTTATTTTGTGCTGGGATAATTTCAGTCTAGTCTAAACGCCTTTTCAAGTAATTATTGCTGTTGGAATACTTGCAGTGATATAATTAAGGCATTTTCCCCTCTAAAAAACAAGTTAACATTTTATTTTTTCCAACACTTTTATTGTCAATTGAGCAGATTTTGGTCTCATCTTTGAACATAAAACCCTAGAAATGGTACACAGAAGTAAATGGAGCTAAACAACCTGGTATTAAGATATCCGATACTGGATTTTGCAACAAAGTAAAATCCTGAATCGACTAAAGTATTTTTCAGAAAACAACTTAGGTTCTTATATGTGTATTTACATACATACTTGCATCTACAGACACATTTAAAATAAATTATAGAAGCAGTTCCCATTCCTATGTGGCCACTGCAAGGGCGTGAGTTAAGTTGTTCTTGGAAGTTAACATTTTTTATCAAGTGCAGTAGAATTGTATGGTCGTGATGTGATGGTAACTCACCAATGTCCCGGAATCAATGGCTTATCTTAAATCATCCATGTACTGTACTCAGATTCCTGACGAAAGCAAAATGTTTCTATTACAAGAAAAAACAAGTGCGTGTGTGTGCTTGTGTGTGTGTCTGTGTGAGAGAATATAATTTATAAATACCCAGTGGGGGAAAGATTTATTAGGAATTCACAAAGAAAGAAAGAAAGAAAGAACCCCAAGCCGTTTATAAGGTAAACCTTAACTTTTCGTTCCTCTGCATTTTACTGAATGCAAATAGGCAGGATTATATCTATCTAGCTATATATCCATCCATCTATCTATCCATCTATCTATATCTATTTTGCATTTGTATTTAAATTAATATCACTTGAATAGATTCTTGAGATATTTAAACATTGCCTCCTCGAACAACATATTAAATACTATTGAAAACGATTCCCTTTCCTGTTTTCTTTATTTGTTTCATTTGTTTCACTCTTCTGAAGAAATCAGCTCATGGGGAAGTGAACAGATTTTCTAGTGTGACTTAGGAGAAGTATTTATGCAGAAAATGCTTGTCTGTAACAATATGAAATAAAGCCTATGTTAAAAATTTATTTATTGTTCTTTTTCCTTCTTTTTTTCTTTTCTGATTTCATTTGGATGAATATAAGGGTTCAAACGTCTGAACAACTATCGTATTTTTAATTTTGCATTTAAAAAGGGTTTAATATAAGTGAATTAGTGGAGTTAAAAGTTTATGTTGTTACTGTTATTCTATCAGTGGAATATTTATACGTATTACATGAATATACATGTATTACAAATCGTGGTAATGTGATAACATTTTGGGGTAAATTTACATTTTAGCCTTAAAAAAATACATGTATTTTCAACCATAATATGCGAAGTCTTTGTCCAAGAAGCAAAAGTATTACCAAAGGGCAAAGCAGAAAGACCTCCAATGATCGTCTCAACTTCCAAAAAATATCGACTCTTTTTGCGGCCGGCCTTTGAGAATAAAAGATAAAAAATGAATAACCGTGAAGGTTGCAGCTCATCCTAACGGTTTAGGTAAAGAGACAGGGAAAAGGTCCTGAATTTGTGCTTGTTTCGTTCTCCAGAAATATTTGACCCACTCTTTTTTCTTTCCTTTTTTTTTTTTTTTTCCCAGTCCTGCAAGCGTAAATCTTCGGCATGGAGATAATTAAGCTGTCCTCCCACCTCAGGCAGAACTAGCAGAAGACAAAACCGAGGCTTTCTCTTCCTTTTAAACGAACATTTGAAATAGATGCGCGTCCTACTTCTCTCCACATCCCAGTACAGAGACTTCAAGATTAACTCCCATTTCTTCTCAGAAAAATAAAATAATAATAATTAAAAAAATACAAAGAAACAAAAAACCCATACACTTCGAGGAGGGGGGCAGGAAAGGAAATGTGACCTATAAAATCGGCAAAATAGCTGTAATTAACCCTCTATTTTATGCGCGGGGCTGGGTCTGCGGGGGGCTACGCGGTGCAGCTGGGGCATTAAATGAAATAATTAAAGAAAATAGATAAATAAAAGCAAAAGCTGAGGGTGAGGGGGAAGGGAAGCCACACAAGAAAAGGGAGAAAGAGAAGAAAGAGGCAAATCGACTTCCTTCTATTCATGGCCGAGCTCTAATTTCTTTCTGCGGAGAAAGCCCCCACCATCCAACTGGTTTACCAGCAATAAAAGAGGCGGAATGGGATTGCTTTTGAAAACCACTATTGTTTCAAATTCCGAGACTAAACAATTGCTCATTCTGCTCTGGAGGGGGGACGGCCGGAGCTGTAAAGCGATAAAGAGCTTCCCAAGCCCAGACGTCTCGCCAGAACGAGTGTTGTGAGTGCGGGGGTGCCTCTGTGTGTGTGTGTGTGTGTGTGTGTGTGTATGAGTGTGAGTGTGTGTTTGTGTCTGTGTGCGTGCGGGGTGTTTTTGTTGGTGATGTGTGCATGGTTCAGCATTCTGGCAGCCTGGAATTGCTTAAAAGAAAAGGGGACGGGTTGGGGGAAGAACAAAGGGAATCACCCATAGCCCTGGATTTCCACGGCATCTGCAAAAGAAGAATAAATTAGCAAAAGTCCCTCCCCACCTTTTCTCTCTCTTTGCTCCCCCCCCCTCAATTTTTAAATCCCCCCCTACCCCTATTTTTTTATTTGACTGAAGAAGAAACAAGAGCATTTACACGTTGGGTTTCCCCACGTTGCCAAGTCGTTGTAGTAATTTAGGAGTTCCTGAAAGTTTTCTTGCACTGTTTGCTTTACAGCCGTTTAGTTCCTTAACCTTCAGAAATTTATACCCTATAAAGTTTTATAGCGGTCATATTCTTTTATTGCAGCACACTGCACTGAATTTTCCTTTTTTTATGACAAGTTAC